ATCCACTCACCTCAGCCTCCCAAAGGCGCGGGATTACAGGCTGAGCCACCGAGACTGGCAATTTTTTGATTTATTGTAGAGGCGATGTCTCGTCATGTTGTCCAGGCTGGTCTCGAACCCGTGGGTTCAGGCAATCCTCTTTCCTCGGCCTCCCAAAGTGCTGGGATTATAGGCTTGAGTCAGCCTGTAATTCCAGCACTTTGGGGGGCCAAGGCGAGTGAATTGCCTGAGTCCGCGGGTTCGAGACCAACCTGGGCAACCTAGTGAGACCTCGTCTGTACAATAAATCAAGAAAAATTAGCCGGTTGTGGTAGTACACACCTGAAGTTCCAGCTACTTGAAAGGCTGAGGTGGAAGAATCACTGGCGCCCAGCAGGTTGACGCTGGGGTGGACATGAGCATGCCACTGTACTTCAGCCTAGGCAACAGAGTGAGACTAACTCAAAAAAAGAAAAAGAAACACAAAAGAGCTCCTTTGCATGCTCGCTCTTTCTGCCACATGAGAACACAGCAAGAAGGCCTGAAAAACAGGAAGAGACCTCACCAGAAAGAGGTCCCACTAGACCTTGATCTGGGATTTCTAGCCTCCAGAACTGTGCGAAAATAAATTTCTATGTTTAAGTCACGTACTCTGTAGCATTCTATTATGGTAGCCTGAGCACACAGCAAAGCGAGTTGAATTGACAAAGTGAATCTTAGCACTAGCCCTGTTAATTATTTTTAAAAGGTTATTACTTAAAAAACTACTCTTGTTTGGTAGATGGCATTCAAGTTTCAAGCTACTTTATGGTTTAAGCTAATAATAGGTTGCCTTTAGTTGTCATAGCTCTTCATTTGCTCTCATAGGATCATCAAAGTTCTTTCCTTTTTTTTTTTTTTTTTTTTGAGTCGGATTCTCACTCTGTCACCCAGGCTGGAGTGCAGTGGCATGCTTACAGCCACCACAGCCTCAACCTGCTGGGCTCAGGCAATCCTTTCGCCTCACCCTTCCGTGTAGCTGGAACTACAAGCATGCACCACCATACCCAGCTAATTTTTTATTTATTGTAGAGATGAGGTCTCACCAAGTTGCCCAGGTTGGTCTCGAACCCATGGGCTCAGGCAATCCTCTCACCTTGGTCTCCCAAAGTGCTGGGATTGGAGACATGAGCCACTACTCCTGGCCCTCTTTTCTTTTGAGTTGGGGGTCTCACTCTGTTACCTAATCTGGAGTGCAGTGGCACCATCACAGCTCACTGCAGGCTTGACCTCCTAGGCTTAGGCAATCCTTCTGCCTCAGCCTGTGCCACCACACCCAGCAATTTTTTTTGTTTTGTTTTTTTTGTAGAGACGAGGTCTCAGTATGTTGCCTAAGCTGGTCTCAAGTAATCCTCCCTTCTTTTTTTTTTTTTTAAGTTGGAGTCTCACTCTGTCGCCCAGACTGGAGTGCAGTGGCACGCTCCCGGCCACCGCAGCCTGGACCTGCTGGGCTCTGGCGATCCTTCCTCCTCAGCCTTCCAAGTAGCTGGAACTACAGGCGTGCACTACCACACTTGGCTATTTTTGATTTATTGTAAAGATGAGGTCTCACCAAGTTGCCCGGGTGGGTTTCGAACCCGCGGGCTCAGGCAATCCACTCACCTCAGCCTCCCAAAGCACGATATTATAGGCTGAGCCACTGCACCTGGCCCAAAGGTCTTTTCTAAATAGTATCTAAGATTGTACAGAGTAAAAAATAACTTCAGCTAGCCACCAGAGTAGAATTTTGCTATGATTACACAGTACTAGAGGAATGTATTCAAATTAATTCATTCAAATATTTGAGCATCTATTCACTTGACAATGCTATAATAAGGATGAAAGAAAATATAGTCCCAACACAACTGAGGAAGAGATAAAATAGTTTGTAGAACACACTATAGGCTTTCATAGGCTCTATCCCTTTAATATAACCCACATTTTTAAATTTTATACATTAATTCCTCTAACCTACTTTTCCAAATACCATAGTCAAGCTTTCATACATGTAGATTAATAACTTCAAGATATAGCATGGTAGTGTTTCTTATCAGTCAATTGTTCTGTTCTGGCATATTTATCAATACAGCAGTATGTGTCATTATTTAACAATTTTATTAGTTCAGTAAATATTTATCTATTGTCACAAATTTTATATTATTTTAATTTTTAAAAATTTAGGAAAATGAAATCAAAAGGCTGATATCTATGATAATATAATCAAGAAAAGATGGAAATTAAGTATACTAAAGGCTATATTTGGCTACCTGATGATATGTTCAATCACTATGTAAAAGACAAAGTATATAACCATAAACTCTATTTAAAAGGCAAGTAAAAGTGATAAAATAAATGGAGAAAGCTTTGGAATCTTGGACTATTAATTATAAAAGTAATGTCAGTGATGCAAATCCAAAGAAGAGTCACAGATCCATAGCTAATACTTACAGATTCTTTAATCATTTCATGATGAAAAATGAGAATCTGAGATAAGAAATTACTTGTAAAAATTAGTCAGAATCAGTAAATCTATTGAGATAGAAACTAGATTAGTAGTTGTCTAGGACTAGGGTCAGGGAGAATATGGAGTAATCGTTAATGGGTATTTGGTTTCTGTGGGGAGTAATGAAAATGTTTTAAAATTGGCTGTGGTAATGGTTACACAACTACAAATATACTCATTAAATTGTACACTTTATATGGGTATATTGTATGATATGTGGATTATGAAGGGGAACCCCCCCAAATGGAATTTATTTATTAAAAATTATGTATTTATTCTTGCATATTTCCACTTTGGTCACCCTCAAAGTACTCTCCATTTGATGCAATACACTTATTGAGATGTTTTTTCCACAGCTCAAAACAGGTTTTTTTGGTTGTTGCTTTTTGTTTTTTTTTGAGCTGGAGTCTCACTCCGTCACCTAGGCTGGAGTGCAGTGGCATGGTCAAAGCTACCGCAGCCTCGACCTGCTGGGCTCAGGCAATCCTTCCACCTCAGCCTTCCAAGTAGCTGGAACTACAGGCATGCACCATCACGCTCGGTTAATTTTTCTTGATTTATTGTAAAGATGAGGTCTTGAACCCGTGGGCTCAGGTAATCCTCTCATTTTGGCCTCCCAAAGTGCTGGGATTACAGGCATGAGTCACCACACCCAGCCTCAGAACAGTTTTTTAACTCATCAATATGGATGTCTTTTAGTACTTCTGCCATTTTTTGTTTCACCTCTTTCACACAGGCAAAACATTTCCCTTTGAGAACTTTTTTTATCCAGGAAAGCAAAAATAAGTCACTCAGGGTGAGATAGGGTGAACAGAGAGGGTGGGACATGGGGGTCATAAGACTTTTGGTCAAAATTGCTGAACACTTAGTGCAGTGTGGGCAGGTGCACTCATAAATCACCTATCATGAAATGGGCAAACACACTGAAAGAATCTCCAAAAAAAAAAAAATCACTGAACCTGAACACAGCCTCTCACAACAATGCTAGCTGGTATGCTAATATCAATGGGTTCCTAGAATATGTACCTAGCAAAGGAAGCCTATACTACAAGGAGCCTGCCCTGCAAAAAATAATTCCATTTTTTGGGGGTCTCTCTCATATATTCAAAAAATTTATTGCTGACTAAAACTTTCACTTAAAAGCCTCATCAGTTAAAAAGAAATTAATTGGTCAATATTTAGTGTTTACTCTATGCTTTTCTAGTTTTAAGCAATCATGTCCATTAATCCAAGATTAAAAGAGAAGTAAAACACACCAGAGAAACTTTATGAATTTTCACTCTCCTAGAAATAGAACCCTCACCCTGAAACAATTGTCCAGCGTTTGGTACCTTCCACTTTCACATAGATTTTCAAGAACATATGTGAATACCAGATCACCTATATAATATAGTAAGTCCTATAAACAAAGTATGAGCAAAATGCTGAGGAATTACAGTAGTTGGAATTAATTATTCTTTTTTTTTCTTTTTTTGAGTCAGAGTCTCACTCTGTCACCCAGGCTAGAGAGAAGTGGCATGCTCACGGTCACCACAGCGTCGACCTGCTGGACTCAGGTGATCCTTCCATCTCAGTCTTCCAAGTAGCTGGAACTACAGGTATGTGCCACCATACCCGGCTAATTTTTCTTAATTTATTGTAGAGATGAGGTCTTGCCAAGTTACCCAGGTTGGTCTTGAACCTGTGGGCTCAGGCAATCCTCTCACCTCAACCTCCCAAAGTCCTAGGATGATAGATGTGAGCCACCACGCCTGGCTGGAATTAATTATTCTTACACAGTGTACTATTATATCTTTAGAGGACTTGGCTATCAATCTGCAACTTACCTTCATCATGACATTTAGTGCATATTTTTGATCTTCTCGCCTTGCTGCAGCTTTTGCTTCTGTGGCTTCTTTTGCTCTCTCTTGTGCTTGTAAAATAGATTTTTCTCTGATTCTTTGCATCACCTCTTTGTCAACTAAAATGTAAGGAATATTACTAAATTATGATTATGATAAATTTGTCTTACTTAGGAGAAAACTACTTAACCTATTGATCCAGGACGAGATTTTTTTTTTTTACCCAACTTCACAAAGAGAAAACATTTTTCAGTATTAAAGTGGCTTAGAAGGTAACATTAAAAGGCAAGCAATTAATTGTAATAATAATGAATTGCTATAGAATGAGGAAGAAGAGGAAAGGGAAATGGGGGAGATACACAAGAGGCAGAGGACGAGCATAAAGGGGCAGGAACACATCTATCCTCTTCCATCTCTGTTGAGAAATCCAGGCGATTTGCTTATAAATCTGATCATAATAAACCATCACTATAGAGTTTCCTAGAAAAGACAGGTTGAGATCACCTGAAATGATTCATCACCTCCACAAACATAAAGTGAAAATTTATACACGATGTGCATATAGGGCAAGCCCTAGGAAAAATTACAAAGTAGCATGACATGTTTATATAGAGAGAATTTTACCATTCACAGTTATTTTATATTCAGTGTGGCTCATTGTTTTACAAACTGTAGGCTGTGACCCATTAGTGGGTAAATTATCTTAAAGAAGTAGGGATCAGGCCCTGAGGGAAGGAATCTAGCTTTCAGCAGGGGGAAAAAAAAAACCATGGAAAGGGAGAAAAGAAAACTTGGAGGAGGGCAGATAAAATCAGGGGAGGAGATGGGGAGGTTGGGTTGAGGGTTGAATACCCTAGGCATGGGTTCTTAACCTTTTTTGTGCAGCAAATTCCTTAACAGATTAGTGAAACCTTATGGACCCCTTCACAATGTTTTAAAATGTATGAAATAAAATACACAAAGTTACAAAGAAACTCAGTTATATCAAAACACTCACAAGATATTAAATATTAAAACTGTGTGGCGGGTGCAGTTGCTCATGCCTGTAATTGTGGAAGCGAGAGGACTGCCTGAGTCCAGGGGTTCAAGACCAGCCTGGGCAACTTGGCGAGACCTTGTCGCCGCAAGAAAGTAAAAAAAAAAAAAAAATAGCCAGGTGTGGTGGCACACACCTATAGTTCCAGCTACTTGGAAGGCTGAGGTGGAAGGATCACCTGAGCATAGAAGGTTGAGGCTGCGGTAGCTTTGACCATGCCACTGCACTCCAACCCAGGCAACAGAGTGAGACTCCGACTCAAAAATAAATAAATAAATAAATAAAAATAAAATTGTGATATACTAAGATGTGTTTCTTTATTAATGCATTAAATAATATACAGCTATAAGTCTAACAAACATTGTAATTTCAAAGTAGCGATGACTATAAAAGATATATCTGTGATATGAACATATTTGGGACTTACTGGTGCTATTTGCTATGATGTGAATGTTTGTGTCTACTCAGCATTCATATATTAAAATCCTTACCCTTAATGTGATGGTATTTGGAGGTGAGGCCTTTTGGGAGGTAGTGTCCTTATACAGGAGGCCCCAGAGAGCTGACTTGCTCCTTCCACCCTAATAAGAAGAATGGTTGCAATCTCTTCCATTCTCAATAGTTCATACTTAGACTTAATTCCAGAGACATAAGAGAAGTTCCAGGCAGTAAATACAAAATATTAGAAAACATGACAACCAGAGGAGGTGGGAGGAAAACAGAGCTAAAACAGTAGAGGACAATTACTGACCCACAAAGCTAATACTGACATCAGCACAGGGTACTAATTAAGACTACAGAGTCATAGCTTTAAAACAGGGGATCTCAACTTTGGCAGCATATTAAAATCCCTGGAAAGCTTTTTAAAAACTACCAACACTGAGTCCTACTCAGAGACACTGATTTGATTTGCCTAGAGTGTGTTTCAGGCATCTGTATCCTTTTAAAGTCCCATAGGTGATTGAAATATGTAAGCTGAGGATATCTGCTCTAGAGTGAAACTGCTAATACTCCAGTCCCAGTCTGCCACTTACTAGGTTTGTGACTTTTGCCAATTATTCAACCTTTGCATGTGCCAGTAGCCTCACTTGTAAAAAGGGGTAACAATACCTAAGTGATTAGGTTGTACAAAGGATCAACAGATATGTTAATGCCTAACACAAAGTTAAGTTCTCAATAAAGGCTATAGTAGAAGGGCTCATCCCCTAAGATACAAGTCCACATCTTCTGCTTAATGTGTCTTTGAATAATTCAATCTTTAGGCTAATTAATTTTAAGTGGCAGCAGAAGCACTACCTCATTTAAATTAGGCTCATGGACTTTTTTTTTCTCAAAAAGCAATTAAAGGAGTTCAGGATATGCCACCCCAAAATATGCTGCTTTGATATATTGATTATTTTGAGCTAACGGCACTTGAAAAACAGCAATTGCACAGAGAGACTTTCTCTAAACTCATCTGCTTAAAAATTGATTTTCCAAAAGGAACTCAATTGTCATAAATCCCTTCCTCTGGAGTTTCATTAACCAGGGAACATTTACTCCTATTATAGGACAGAATAGAAGTCGACACTATACTCAGACAAACTTTGTTACAACCTATCTTCTATCTGTTCTTCTAAGTACCCATTCATCTTTCCTAAAAATAATTGACTGTCCTAAGGGACCTACACCTCTCACTCCTTCCCCTATTAAGAGGTTCTACAAGCTCTCTAATCTCACTGTTTGGGGGATAGTCACTTTTTTCCCTGTGATGCCCCGTACACTAATATTAAAAATTAATATTTTTCTATACCTTTTCTTCTGTTAATCTGCCTATTGGTAATTACATAGACCCAGTTGTCAAACCTAGGAAAGTTAAAAGGAAAAGCTATCTTCCCCTACACAACATAATTGTTTCAAAAGAGAATTTTTTAAAAGGTCTGAAACAGGAAAAGCACAACCATATGAACATCTTTGAATAAAGAACTTATTACCTGTCACAGAAAGGCTCTCCCACATGACTGCTTCTTTTTTATACAAGGTGAAGACAACCGTGTCATTCCCAATCTTCACTTTGCTGTTCTCATCGTCTATGGGAGCATAGAGAAATGCCTCAAATAAAAATGGAGGAAAGTTGACCTATTCAGAATGAAAACGGAAATTAAATTAGGAACGCAAATTAAGGACACGTGTTAAATATGCGAAAAAGGCCAAAATAACTTTCTAAAAGGCCCACTAAATTTATTCCAGGTAGTGAAAGATTAGCAAGGCACATGAAGTCCTGGATAAAAGTAATTTCTGAACTGTCCACACAAGGTGTTTCACCTGTGCGGGATTCTTTTCTTTCTTTCTTTATTTAAATAGTATTAAAATAGGCCGGGCGCGATGGCTCACGCCTGTAATCCTAACACATCGGGCGGTGGAGGCGAGAGGATTGCCCGAGCCCAGAGGTTCGAGACAGCCTGGGCAACATGGTGAGACCTCGTCTTTACAATAAATCAAAAAATTAGCCGGGCGTGGTGGCGCGCGCCTGTGGTTCCAGCTACTTGGAAGGCTGAGGCGGAAGGATCGCCGGAGCCCAGCGGGTCGAGGCTGCGTTGACCGTGAGCGTGCCACCGCACTCCAGCTTGGGAGCCAGTGAGACTCCGACTCAAAAAAAAAAAAAGTGGCTGGGTGCGGTGCATCACGCCTAAAATCCCAGCACTTTGGAAGGCCGAGGTGAGAGGATTGCCTGAGGCCAAAGTTCGAGACCAACCCGGGCCACTTGGCAAGACCTCATCTCTACAATCAATCAAAAAAATCAGCCGGGTGTGGTGGCGTGTGCCTGTGGTTCCAGCTTCTTGGAGGCTGAGGCGGAAGGATCACCTGAGCTCAGCAGGTCGAGGCTGCGGTGGCCGTGAGCGTGCCGCTACACTCCAGCCCGGGCGACGGAGCGAGCCTCGGACTCAAAAAGAAAAAAAGGAAAGAAAGCAAGCAAGTGTCAACATGTAGGAGGCTCAGGCGCAAGGACCCGCTGCTGCGCATGCCCCTCCGCGCTCCCGCCGAAGCCCTAGAGCCCGGCCCCGAGAGCCGGCAGGCTAGACTCGCGCTCCTACCTTCAGATAGTTTTCCGTGCAGAACACATCTGTGTCTCTGACGCTCACGCCTTTGAGGGGCAGAGAGAGAAAGACCGCAGTCTTGGTCTGCCGCCAGCTGTAATCGCTAACCTGCAGGGGCATCCCGAGCGCGGACGCAGGCGAGGGGAAGGCTGGTTGCTACGGGAGCCCGCTCGGTTGCCAGGGAAGCTGGGGTTGCCACGCGCCAGCTCTTCCGGGTCACGCCTGCCGGCGCCCGGCGATCGGCGAGTGCCCCGGGCACACCCCTGCTGCCGCCCCGCGGACTCCGTTTTTGCGAGGCACCCTGGAAGGTGTGGTGCTAATTCGGGGGGTTACCGTCGCCCTCACTGTCTGAGCGAGTGTCCAAAGGAGTAGGCCCGTATCTTCTGCTTAAGACAGAAAGAAGAGACCCGGGCTTAAGGCGCAGGAAAGCAATCCATCCGTAGCAGGTGCAGCAGCCCCCGTGCGCCATGGGAGGGTTTTGCCTTGGTTTTTTTCTTGCTGAGGCTATTAACAGCACCCGTGGAAGTTCCTGTTTGGGAAATTTCTCCGTCATGTAGATTGAGGTGTGAAACAAAGGTGTGAACTTGAAAGAGCCAGTCCTTCGAGATGGATCCTGGGACTACATTTAGCCCTTTGCACTCGGATGTTCCCTCTCAGGGGACAAAAAGAGACTGCTGGTGATTATACAGGACGAACTTATGCCAGCGCAAATTTTTCAAAAACTGGCTCAGGCTTTGGGAGGCTGAGGTGAATGGATTGCCTGAGCCCGCGGGTTCGAGACCCGCCTGGGCAGCGAGACCTCATCTCTACGATAAATCAAAAAATCAGTCTGGGCGACAGGGTGAGACTCCATCTCAAAAACAAAAAAAAAGTCTATTTCCTTGGAGTCTTCCATTCAAATTGTACAAAACAGCAAAAAAGAGGTGGGATATATATGAGATATAAGTAAAAAATACCAGCTGGCATTACGTTGAAAGAACGTGTGTGAAGTACTTTCACCGTGCACAGACTGGACAATAAATTATGTATTCTTATTGTGAGAGGAAGAAAATGAGACGGCATTATCTGCTCGAATAGAAAAACACCTGGTGGAAGATGTTAAACAAATTGCTATTGCACATCCTGTATCAATGAACCTGTAATGCATGTTGGTGACTGTTTCGCACATTACCACATTAGAAAAATGCAAGATAGAGAATTTTGATTTTTTTGTCATAAGTAAGATTCTTAATGTCCAAAATTCTGTTATAAGCCAAATATCATTACAATAAAATAATTGGTTCCAACACGATACTGTTTAATATGAAGTGATTCATATCTCATTATTTTGTAAGAACAACAAAAAAAAAGTGCAATGGAGTTGTTGGTAGGTGATCCGCAAGATGTCTCCGAGTGCAGAGGGTTAGAATATAGCCAAGTGGCCATTTGCTGACTAGAGGACATATGTGTACTCAGTTCCTGCAAAACCCACAGTTCCATTCAACTTTGTGACTTCTAGAGCTCACCTGCTTTGACCAATCAGGGCTCATCTGTATTGACAAATCAGAACTGTGTTTCAAGTCTTCATTTGCAAAAACGGACCTGATTGGGAACCTGGGGAGGAATTTTTTTTTTGGCTGAAAAACCTGGACCCTAGCTTTGTTCTGTGGAACATACCTTCGTTTTACACCCAAGGGTGTGATTCTCCAGTTTGAAAATTGTGCACCAGAATAACGTCTCTTTCCTACAAATTCCTGTCCAGAGAACTTTTGTTCACAAGATATACCATACCAGGAGCTTGTCTACACTATTGTATTAATATCTTCCAAAACCTGTCAACTGGAAGGTCACCAAAAGCACCTACATAGGTTTTGCTTCAAGGTTTGAGAACTGGAGGGAAGTGACCCTATGATTCACCTGACAAATGTTTTGTTAAAATCGATAGGATAAGTTGGATTTACATCAAGACATATTACAATTGCTTAAGTAGACTCCAAACGTTAGTAATGCAGAGAAACCTGAAGATCATGTAATCTCATCCTATGTATTTAAGGAATAGGAGAGCCATACATGTAACCCATTGTCACAGTTTAGTGGCTGAACCATAATTAAGATCCTGATCTCTCAGCTTCCAATGTTTTTGCTCCAGGCTGCTTTCTGTACACCCAGTTTATAAATTACTGGAATATGCTGCTAACACAGTGAATATATATAAATTTTAAGTACCTACAAGTTACTTGTCACCTAGGGTTTTGGATTTTAAAGCGATTTATTTCTTTATTTTGCAGGAAAATGCAGTATTCAGGAAAATTCCAAAGTACATCCTCGGACTTTAAACTTTTAATTTTTAAAAAATTAGCCGTGCATGGTGGCACATGCCTGTAGTTCTAACTACTTGGGAGGCTGAGGTGAAAGGATCATCTGAGCCCAGCAGGTCAAGGCTACACTCCAGTCTGGGCAACAGAGTGAAACTCCAACTCAAAAAAAAAAAAAAAGGATACATGGTGCTGTTTGGAGGTTTCAGTAAAATCTGTAAGCAATCACTTTGCGAAACACAGAAGAGCACACACCTCAGCAGTGGCATTATTTTCATTATTTTCCTGACTTCCGTGATGTCACCAAACATTTATACTCTCCGAGTAAATTATACCTTAACAAAAACTTGACAAGTTTTATTACTGAATCATGACATCAACTGATACCAATTTAAAGCATCATTAATTTGTATCCATTATTTCATGACAATGTTTCAGTGTTTCACAAACATTTAACTCAATTTTAAAGTCTTAAGCTGTATTTTTTATTAGATCAAAATAAAACAAAAAGCTGTAGTCTTACCCAGGGATAGAAAGAACTTTGATATATGGTAAAGATGGCTCTGCACATAATTGGGGAAATGCAAAGAAAGGAATGACTATTGAACACATGATGTTGGAAAAAGTCGTTACTGATAGGGCTTACATGGGGGAAGGGATAAAGGGAGCCGTTGTTAAAATAACTCACTATGTGAACCTTGCAACCTTACATCCCGTTTGCGAGGTTTACACAGTGAGTTATTTTAACAACGGCCCCCTTTACCCCTTCCCCCACGTAAGCCCTATCAGTTACCATATGGAAAAATGAGATCGTATCTCTACATATATATGGTGTCACATGCAAAAATGATTTTCCAATGAACCGAAGACATAAAAATTGGAAACTTAGAAAATAATATTCTTATGATCTTGGAGTAAGAAAGGATTTTTTAACTATGACATACTAACCATCGGCTGGGCGCGGGGCTCATGCCTATAATCCCAGAATTTTGAGAGATTGCCTGAGCCTGCAGGTTCATGACCAGCCTGGGCAACTTGGCAAGACCTCGTCTCTACAAGAAGTAAACAAAGTTAGCCGGGCATGGTGTGCGTGCCTGTAGTTCCAGCTACTTGGAAGGCTGAGGTGGAAGGATCGCCTGAGCCCAGCAGGTCGAGGCTGTGGTGGCCAAGCACGTGCCACAGCCCTCCAGCCTGGGTGACAGAGTGAGAACTCCAACTCAAAAAAAAAAAAAAGCACTAACCATGAAGGAAAGAGATTGAAAACTTGAACTATCGAGTACTGTGCTTACCAAAAGGCACAATAAAGAATGTTAATATATCTGATATTTATATCTGCTATATTCAAAGACCACAGGGATACCTGTAAGTGAAAATATTGAGTTCATTACTTACTGAGCAAGAGAGAGCACACACCATGGGTTGTCTTAGTTGGAGAGAGTTAGAATGGGGGGAAGGTCTAAGGGAGGTTTGGTTCCTTCTAGACTGAAGCTTTTAGAAAGTGAGGGTAATTCTATTTATGGGGTTCAGGACATGCTATCCCCAAATCTGGCACATTGGCATATTGAATATTTTAAGCTGAAGGAATTGGAGAAAGACTCTCTGACCTCCCCCCCGCCCTGCCTCTCCTCCTCTGAAGCTGATCATAAGACCCCATGTGAGAAATACTCTCCCTATACCTACAAAAGACCATTCTTATCACCAAATAAGGAGAGAATTCTAAACAAACAAGGCTTGCTAATTTCTCCCTAACTTACTGCACTTAGCTTATACCCTTTGCCCTATCACATTTTTCTATGACTTTCCAATCTTTATCAAACTTAGCAGAAAAACACACAGGTTCAACAATTTCTTTCACTTTTCATTTCCTTATGAATGCTCCCATGTCAGGCAAAAGTTTTATTAAATAAATTTGTATACTTCTCTTAATTTGCCTTTTGCTACAGGAGTGCCAGCCATAAACACAGAAGGGTAGAAGGCAAAGATATATTTTCCTTTCTTACATGATGATTTCGTAAAGAAGTAGCTGCTGCTCATTTCATCCAAAAAAGGGGAAGTCTGTTATTTTATAAGTGGCAAAATCATCTTTTTTTTCTTTTCGTCAGTGCTTAGACAATATTACGAAGTGCCCTTGTTTTGTCTTATTTTATTGTGGTCGCAGAGAACTCTTGCCTCAGGTTGATGTTCTATGAGATTGTTTATGTTCAACAGAATAATATTAGTCAAGCTGTGAATGCCATAGCTTCTGAATGTCAGGGTCTTCCCTTTTTTACTCTTTCTCAATAATCCACAAAGAGGGCATATAAACAAAATATATAAAGAAAAAGAAACACTCCCACAGTAAAATGGACAAATTGGCATGATCTTGTTAATGTGAATGCCTGCTTATTCTATGTAGCAATTTCACTCCTGTGTATATATCTTAGAGATATATAACAAGTTTCTAGGTGATGCTGATGCTTTATGAACCACTGTCCTAGAACAGGGTTTGTCAACTTCCACACTACTAACATTTTAGGCTGGATAATTCTGGATAACGCAGGCTGTCCTGTATATTGTAGGATATTTAGCAGCATCTACCCGCTTGCTAGTAGCACTCCCCAGATATAGTAATAAAAATGTCTCCAGACATTGCCAAATGTCTCTTGGGTTGGGGGGATGGGTGTAGTAAAATCACCTACATCTGAGAACCACTGCTCTAGAAAAATATATCTTTTCCTTCTACCCTTCTGTGTTTATGGCTGGCGCCCCTGTAACAAAAGGCAGATTAAGAAAAGTATACAAATTTATGTAATAAAAGTTTTGTATGACATGGGAACATTCATAAGGAAACAAAAAGTGGAAGAAATTGTTCAACCT